AAAAATGCATGTGGGTACTCAAATGAAAGCTCTTGATGAGTGTAACATCAGGACGAGCTTATATCTTTAAAAATGTCAATAGTTAAAAAATTACAGTGCAATTTAACAAAAGTCATTATTTAATAAAGCAAAATTTTATTTATTTATAGTTCTCAAGTCACGGCAGTCACATATTGCTAGTTTTATTTTAAAAAATTATATGTAAAAATTTTAGTTTTGATTTTTAGCAGTTAAATTTTTATAACAAATGCAATAATGTTGATTCATTAATAAAATTTGAGATTTAAAAAAATCTTATATGAGAAAATTATATTAATGTCAATGAAGAAGAAATCAACATGCCAAACTCAATCAGAATAAAACAAACAAATAATTAAATAAATAAATAAATAAATAAACAAGCAATTATTGTTTTTTAAAATAAAAATATAAAAAACAGAGCGAGCACTAATAATAATAATAATAATAATAATAATTATTAAGGATACTCGAAGAGTAAAGCCACGGGAAGAAAAAATAAACTAAACAGGAAGTTGGTTGTAAATTAATAAAAAATAATAAATAAATAAGTAATTGAATTAATCAGAGATTAATTATTATTAGGGACAAGCTGAGCGGACCTTTATCTTAGTGACAGCTTCTTCAACCATGTGCTTCTTAAGACGCTTACGACGTTTGCGTCCCCCTTCCTCTTCCACCTCGACCGAACCGAGAAAATGTAGTCTGAAAACGGTGGATGGACCGATCGAGCCGCCGATCGGGGCCAGCTTTCCTGACGACGAGGTCTGGGATGATGATCCCAATTGCTGGGTCTCCACCTGCTGCTGGCCCCCACCGGCAACACTCCCTATCAGTTCTTCACTCGAGTCGCATTCATCCTCGTCAATGCTGCCCTGGGAGGCTACGCTGCAACGGCCATAGCCATGCTGCCCGCTCCCATAGTTTAAGAGCGACTGAATCGGCACCGGCTCCGGGACGACATCCTTCACCGAGTCGCACGCGCGCGCCAAACAAACAGACAAACAGAAAGGCTCTGCTAGTCACATTGCCAATAGCATCACCAAAGGAAACAAGGCAATGAGCCAAGGCTTTTTATTACTTTTATCTATCATTATAATTTTTTTCAATTTTTTTTTTTTTTTTTTCGTCTCTCTTATGCTTCTAAAAATTTTTTATCGCCTCAAAATTAATTGGACAATCGCAATAAGCGCTATTTAAAATTATTTATCAGTTGAAAAAATTTTTACTTCATCATTTAAGCAATTACAGCTGCTCAATTTTAAAACACAGTAACTGCAAAATTTTTATACTTGATTTTTTTTAATATTACTGCATTTTTTATAATTTTTAAACCTTAATTTCAATTAATTTAAAAAAATTTTTTAAAATTATGAAAATTATTAATTATTTAAAAATTTTTTAAAATTTTTAAAAATCTTAAAATTGTCAGTTACTGTGTTTTGAAATTGGGCAGCCGTAATTATCAAGTATAAAAATTTCTCATTAATTTTTTATAATTAAATTTTTAATAAAAATTTGTCTATTTTTAAATAAACAGGTAATCTTATTTTTAAACACGTCGATATCGTTGTAATTTAATAAGAAATCCTTATGCGTTGTAAATGTCACTGTGTCAATGTGAACTAGTTATAAAATTCTAAAAAATAAAATCAAAAAATTGAATTACAAATTTTTTCAACTGACAAATAATTTTAAGCTTTTAAAATAATTATCAAGCTTTAATTTAAAATAATATTTTTTGTTAAACAAAACAAAAATATTGCTTGAAATTTAATATTTAATAGCAGCAATAATAAATAATAAGCCGATAAATTTGAGCTATTTGTTATTTTAAATGCTTTAATAATCTAACATATAGAAAGTATAGAACCGTTATGCATTATTATAAAAATAGCTTTGCAAGATGCAATTTTAAATACTTATTTAAATGCCTTAGCATATTTGTACAATATCTACTCAATTATAATTATAATCATAATAATAAACATATATAAATTATTGTTCTAGCTTAAAAAAAAAAAATTAATCAATTATACAGATTTCCGTAGCATTACGTGATTTATACAATTGCCACTTGAATTATTTTGTTTTTCATGCCAATAAATAAGAATAATAATTATTATTTTTTTATGTTAAGAAAACAATAATCTAATACAATTATTTTTAAAAAATGATTTTTTTTGTTTCGTTATTTTTTATTTTAAAACACAACGACGTGTGTATGTGTGCAATTAAGCATATTGTGAAAAAAACATTTTATCCATTACTACTATACGTTAAGAAATAAAAAGACCTAAATTACTGGCAAGCATATTTGAGAGCAGACGAACGGCATTTAAACAAAGAAAAATTATAATTATAAAAATAATAATAAATGTTGATAAAAAATAAAATTAATGTTGATATTTAAAGAGATTAAAAAAGAAAAAATATGAAAATACTTGAAAATAAATCAGTAAAAAATTTTTTAAAAATAATAATAATAATAATAAAAATAATTAATGAAAAAAATAATAATAATAAAAGACCGACATAACAGACAGACAGACACATAAAAAAGATTACACTGAGAAGATGACAGTGTTCGGTGGTCGGGTGGTGTTCGTGATGTGAGGAAGGGGGTCGCTACACTGAAACATTCAGGCCTCTTTGCATAGACGGCCGTCTCACAATTAATTTATATGTATAATATATATAATAACAATAAAAATAATAAATATAAAGATAATTATATATGTAAATAGTAATTATAATAAATCAAATTAAAAAAAATAATATAAATAAAAAAACTGTCAATAAGAATCGCCGTTTAGACTTTATTTTTTTTTACTCAGCGTGGCTCCGTCTTCAATAAAATTTTTCAGCTAATTTAATTATAAATTTTTTCAAATAATTATTACACAAGTCATTCTGGTAAATGCACTAACTAACTAAGTCAATCCACAACTTAACTATTTTGTTAATATTTTTTTGAACTAATCTATTAATTATTTATGTATAATAAAATTTAATTATTTTATGATAAATATGGAGCGTAATTGGTCTCTATTGTAACACTGAGCAAATGCAATGTCTAAACTGATGATAATATGTAATTATTTGCCAATATTTTTAAGAAGAACGTCTTATGTATAAAAATTAATTTAATTAATTTACATAAATAAAAATATAAATCTACATTCTACAGATATTATTTTTAAAAATAAAACTAGACGATCTTCTTAATTAAAATTCATTCTCGAAAATCAATTGGCTCAACTAAAAGTAATTTAAAAAGAAATAAAAATATATTACCGACTATTTTCATAATAACAATCTAATTATTTAAAAAAAAAAAATCAAATAAACAAATTGTCATTCACTATTTCTGCAAATAGTCGGTATTACTCTCTAAGTGAAATTATTACAGCTTTTTAAATATATTGCAATAATAATAATAATAATAATAACAATAATAATGATAATAATAATAACGATAAATACTAGTATATATTTATGTATAATTATTACACTTAATATTTTAAATTAAACGGCAAATAAAAAATCAGTGTTAAGCATTCATTGCATGCTGAATTTACTTTTAAATTTAATAATTAAAAATAAAAAATAAATAAACAAATAATTAAAACATTTCACTGATGAAAAATTATACAGCAACCGAGTATGTATAATTTACGTAATATAATATATATACACATTAGTACGAGTTGGAAAATTTTTCACAGGTGTTACGAGTACTAAAATTTATTTAAAAAACAAATAATATATATATTGTAATAATAATAAAATATTAATAAATCTAATAGTCAATCAATTAGTACAATTATCCAATAATTTTGCCGTTTGATTTATAATTATAATAATTACAATAATTAAATCAACAAGCCAACAGAGAGCTTAAACCAAGTGACTAGTTTCCATCGAGAATGAATTAAATATTAATATTATTAATAATAATAACAACAACATCATAATGATGATAACAATAATTATGAAATCTAGTGTGTATACTGTCGTCTCTCTGTGGCATATTATGACATACCTTTATCCTAGATACGGCTTCTTCCGCCTGACACATCCTCGTAGATTTAGTTGGTTGGCCCTCGCAAACAAGTTGCGTTGATCCAAGATATCGCGCACGAAACAGTACACCCTCAATCAGCACTGATGGATCATCCAGTAATCCTGTAAGTGGCACAGTTACACGTGATTTACTATTTGAATCTTCACTATTGTTTGTTATTAATGTCCCAAATGTAATAACATAATCCGTCGATGCACGAAATAATTTAATATCGTTGCTCGTGAATTCAATATTCGCTATTTCCCCGGGCATTTTACTGATTAATTATGCTAAATTTAAATTATTAGTCCGATGTCAACTCGTGTACTTGTCAGGGAAAAATAGATACAATTCAAGTCAATTGCTCAAGATTAGTTTATTTTTTTTATTACTTCACACCTCCCTCCACTGTTTAAAATTAAATACTAAAGTTTAACTGGCTAACGAGCAACTAAGTAGTAATTTCATGAACGTTTAAATATCATATCTAGACGATTAATGATAACTCAGTATTTTCTTAGTGATAAAGAACTTGATTTTGTTAATTTTAAAAAATGTATGTTTGTGGATAAAAAAAAAAAGACGAACTGGTATTTTGTGCTCTTGAAGGAAGCCACTTCAAATCCAAGATTATATATGACACAAAAAAAAATGTAATTGTTAAGCACGTAGAGTTAAAATATATAAATTATCCTCGTTCAATGTTTACGTATTGTACGAGACATTGCCGATTGCAGAATGCGAATCAATGAGCAATGCAACAATTAAGTTTATTAAATGTATGACGTCGACGGCTGTACGATTATAAAATTTTATTTAAATTATTAAGAACGAGGTAAAGTTATCGTATGTTGTTAGATATTAGTTATTCAAATGCTCAGTGGAGGATAAAAAGATAGTAATAGAAATGAGGAAAAATACATACCGATTAATAAAATGTTGCATTCCCGACATGGCAGCGTTGAAAAGTAAGGATTAAGATAAAAAATATAATTAGTAGATATGTTATTTTATATTATCATATTTAGTTGTTATCAGTTGAAGATTTTTGTTTTAGTCCAAAATACTCATGCGTTGTTGACTATTTACTCATCAACATTGTTTTTTATCAACTTTTAATGAGATATATTACCTTCTTTGTTACGGCTTTTCTTCTTTCCATCTTTTTCCTGTAAAAATAAGATATTTTGTCGCTTATTATTTAATGTAAAATAATTAATTAGTACAATAATAATAATTAACAGCTAAATTAGAATTAGTGATAATGAAAATTTTGCTACATGCTTATTTGAGGGCTTGAAAAAAAAATTTGAATCATGCTTTAGAAAAAATAAATGCACTAGATCGAATAATAATAAAGTTAGCCGTCATTTTTTATTTTTTAATTTTGTTTAGTTTATTAAATTAAAACTAAAAAAATTTTTTACAAATGAAATTAAAAAAAAAAAATTTTTTTTTGTAATGATTTTTTTAAATGTCGGCTAACTTTATTGTCATCTAGACCGGTTTTATCGGAAAACTAGTGAAAGAATAATTTTTTTGATTGATAAATTAAAGGTGAAAAGAAAAAAAAATGAATGATAATAATAATAGTATAAATGTCAAGATAGAGCAAGAAAGATAGAGAGATAAATATTTAATGTATTGTATTCTACAAATGCAATAGGACAAAGCTAATAATTGAGTGAAAGCATAGTTTAAAAAGTTGGAAAAAAATGCTTATTTAAATTAATATTTTTAAGACAAAAGGCAGAAGCTCGTTGAGAATGCCATAAGCCAAGTAACCTCGTTCATCAGCGCAGAATAATTGTAACTGATAAAATGAAAATAACAAGTAAATAAAATAAATAAATAAAATTTTAAAGAGCCTAGCGCATAAAGGGCATTGTCATAAATAATAAAAAAAGAGGCTCTATGAACAGAAATGTTTTTGAACGTTCTGAGCACCTTTTTGGTCTTGCCGTTGGACTCCTTGAGGCTTTGTGTGGGCGAGGGAGAATTTTTAACCGGGGAGATCTTCTGAGGACTCGCTGAGGTTTGAGTAGTGGGTGATGTCGCCTCGCGTTCAGACGTCGGCGACTGTATTACAGTGACAATAGGAGGCGGGGATATGGATGACGACGTTGAGGGCAGGGGCTCGGGTGGCGTTAGCGTTTCTAGTGGAGCTACACTCAATGTTTTCGGTGGGGTTTGCTTTGGTGTTACGACTTTGGTACTCATTGGTGGTAGCATTGTCCTAGTTTTAGGCTTCCGCCACCCCTGCATCAATACCAAGTACGAAAAGTTATCATTAGTTTAACCAGCGACATTAGCACGCGACTACGTGCATTAAGGAAGGAAAATATTGTGCACCAATCACACACCATACAGAAATATCAAGATAGAAATATAATATTGTTATTTATCAGAGCTAAATTTAGCTAACAAATTAAATTAATAATTAATTAAAAATCAGGATGTTGTAGACCAAATCGGCTGTCTAATTTTAAAACAGTAACTGCAAAATTTTTATACTTGATTTTTTTTTAACATTACTGCATGTTTTATAATTTTTAGACCTTAATTTCAAGTAATTTTTCTTGAAAATATTTATTTTCAAGTATTTTCTATTTATAAATGAAATTTTTTATCAATTTTTTTTAATTTTAAAATTGTCAGTTACTGTGTTTTAAAATTGGGCAGCCGAAATTGATGTTATGTTTTGTTACATAAATAAAATTTTTAAATAAAAAAACATAACATCAATTTGGTCTACAACATCCTGATTTTTAATTAATTATAGAAGAATTTAGACCTGATTAGAGCAATAATAAATAAAATTAATAATACCTTGTCATCGTAGAACCCTTGATCATCAGTTCTTTGTTGACCCAAGAGCCGGTCAGTTTCCAAATCAGTATCTGCTTCCTCTTCGTCTACAACTTCCTCAACCTCAACTTCGTTCTCGTCCTCAACGCGACGAGCCTCGGAATCTTCGCTGTTGCTCTCGGTGCAAATCCGCCGCCTACCATCCAACATACTATAACTTAGTTAGATGCGCTTGGCGCACAGTCGATTAAACATTAAAGGGTATAAAGTTGTCATTAAAGTGTACCTGGGTATCCAAATGGGACTGACGCTCGGCTCGGGAGGATCTTCCGTTGGTGATTTAACTGGCAAGGTTTTTGTTTTCTGCAAAGCCATTCGTATATCCTTTATAGCAGCTTCTACTTCACCGCCAATCTCCAAGTTAATGCTTTGTCTACCCTGAGGCGCAGGCGGTGGTGGAGTACCCAATGGATCTAAGCCGTCTAAATTCAACTCATTCGTCTCGTAAGAATTTTCTTTCTGGGCTATAAATAAATCTGGGGAGGTTGCTTTTAAAGTTTGTAGTATGTCTTTCGTAACATTCAAACTAACATCTTTTTCATTATCGATATCAGTTCCCAGCATATCATTTCTTGTCCTTTGAATTATTTCCTTTTCTATCTCATTTATCTGACGTTTCATCAACATCACCGTCGGATTATTGTTGTCGGTATCGCTCGCGTGACCACTCGATAAACCGTCCTCGAGCACTGGCATACTTGTGTATATTCTCAGTGAATCTGAATTGTTACCGAGATCACCGACAGACCCCAGTAGCCCGCTTGCCGGTAATAGTTCATTGTCCATCATCATTAATGACATTTCGCTATCAAGATCACCGCAATTACTGTCGCAATCCGTTGTTTCCGGACTCAGAGTAAAGTTTCGTGAATGCCCGACCTGCAGACCTACTTCTGTTTCCCCAAGATCTTCACTGCTTCCAGTGCCCACGGATAAATCAAGGAAATTGTTCTCATGCTCGATCTAGTTAACGGAATTAGAAATTTTTATCGTGTTTCAGAATTTAAAAATTATTTAACCGTATAATTATACTTACAGAAGAAGGAAAATCTGCTCGCTGTTTCTTTGGCGATTCATGTACCATAACCTCTTCTGTATTTGGTAACCCACTGGCTAAACGTTGACCAACGTATGAGTTTCCTCCTTGTCGCCGTAATTCGTAATCCAAATCCTTTGATTAATAAATAAAAATGTATTCAGTATTTTTAAATATTTAATAATCTTTAGTAAAAAAATTACCTGAAATGGAAACGACTCGCCATTGCTTTCTTTTTCCTCAGTAGGAGCGGGGCACTTGAAAAATTCCTCCAACACTTTTCTCGTTTCAGAAAACTCATATAAATAATCAAAAGTACTACCTCCGGGTGCAACAAGACTCGATAAATTATCACTACTGAGAAATGATGGTTTGAGAAAATCTTCCTCCTCTTCCTCTTCCTCCTCCTCGCGTTGTAGTTTCAACTCTGCTGATTGTGTCACAAGATCCTGCGTTGAGGATATTTCCTCAACGGAGTGTGAAGTTACTATAAGATTGGTGTTACTTTTCTCTGGTGTTGGGCTCGTCGTCGTATCAACTAACACCTCAACAATTGGTTCTTCTTTCGCTGGCAAATAATCAGTCTCCTTTTCTTTTTGGTTTGGCGTTGTTGGTAAAATTCTCTGAGGAAATCCAGGTCTCGGTGTCATGTATATCGAGGGTGATGATAAAATATTTGATAATCGTGAATTTTCACGTACACCATAGCGACGTGGACTACCGGAATACTGAGCTATGGGCAATTCACCAATAACCCTTGCTACTTTGTGATTTCGTTCTGGGGAGGGTGAATTTACTTCGCAGTCACTCGCGGGTGTAATCACCTAAATGTAACACATTATTTAAGTTCTCGTCCATATTTAAAATATTTAAATAATTTGATCTTGGAAATTTGGACAATAAATGAAGATATTAAATTATAAGAATTGCAACGTTTCGCTGATTTATTATATTTCAGCTTCATCAGGCAGTTGTTAATATTTTAATTCTTAGTGACAAATAAGGACTCAATTTCTTGTGGACTATTTTTTATTTCATCGCCAACGTTTCGTCAGTAATTCCTGACTTCTTTAGGGCTCTACAATGAGGAATACATAACATTAAATTAATAATATATAAAAACGTCAAATAATAAATACAATTCTTAATAATACAAGGACATATACATATACATCATAGTTGTTAATATTGTAATTTAAAAAATGTTTGAGATTATGAAGATGCTGTTTTACTCTATTACATCTATTGACTATGTAAAAACCAGACGAGGATGTTAACCATAAGAGTAACTTCATTGATTTTTGTTTTATAAGTCAAATATTTGTATTGATTAAAAATAATTTTTTTGATTTTTAGTTTGCTTGATGAAGCTGAAATAAATCAGCGAAACGTTGCAATTCTTATAATTTAATATCTTCATTTATTGTCCAAATTTCCAAGATCGAGTTATTTAATTATTTAAAACATTTATATATATTAAATTAACCTGCGTACGTAAACACACATGTATTTATATACCTGTGTGTGCACATATTATATAAAGATATATATATATATATATATACGTTAGAGTTAATGAGAAAAGTGACGTTGTAAATAGCGAATTTAATTAATTCAGCATATGCTAAAACAACGTCGTGTGGAATCATAATTAATGCAACTGTGAAAGTAAGATATACACGCCTTCACAGCTGGCTTTATAAACAAGATAATGTCTTGACAATTGAAGCAATTAGTGTGTAATGTACCTTAAAAAAGTCCGACGTATTTCTCGGATACGTTGACGTAGGACTCGGTGAACTACCGCCACTTGAGCCAGGTGGTTCCGGAGGAATTCTACTGCTATTACGTTGCTGCTGCTGTTGTTGTTGTTGTTGTTGTTGTTGTTGTTGTTGTTGTTGTTGCTGTTGTTGTTGCTGCTGTATATCATCTTGATCGGAATTTAAATAACTCGTAGTATTAATTTGCGAATTAGTTAACGTGTTGTTTGTCGAACCGAGATCCAATCTAAGTCCCTGCCAATTGTCATCAATGTCATCAAAGACAACAACCTCACCATCACTAACAATAGCCATACTTCTTACTGGTGTCGTATGATTTGATTGATAATCAACACAATTCTTTGGTAATCCACAATCAATGTCTGTTATGCTTTTCGGCACTGTATATTCTACATTATTGCTATTTAATACAGAGTCATAATTTATAATACGATTGCTTCGTGCAGCCTTTGGTGAGTCATAATCAAGAATTGATTTTGTTGTTGGATTACGACGAACTGAATGTACTTCGGATGAAAATACTGTTTCGGTTATTTCACGGTTTGCTCGCTGTCGTCTTGCTTCTCCACATCTAATAACGATAACAATTATTAATATTTCTTTTTTTATTGAAACCTTTGTCATTATCTTGAGCTATTTATTTTTGTGTGTTCTGATTCGTTTTTATTAATAAAATTTCCTTTCAGCCGCTCTGATTTTATCCCTCGTACAATATTTCATTTAGAATTGTTTCATTTATGATTGTATAGAAAAAAATCATCAGGAAAAAAAAGCTCCTTAATAATTGATTGATCAATTTATAATATAGACTCTATAAATTTATATTGAAATTTTAAAAACGAAATATTTTAAAATAGTTAAAATTTTAAAAATGTATGTCAAGAATTTTGAACAGTATCATAAATTTATATTATTAAGAGAATAAGTACAAGTTTGTGTCCAGGATAGTCATATGATAAAATCTAGGTACATAATTAAGAAATGACCTTGTATTTTGTGAACTATTGACATTTTTAAAGATATAAACTCATCCCGATGTTACACTTATCGAGACCTTTCATTTGAGTACCCACATCAATTTTTCATATATTTATTTATATTATATATATATATATATATATATATATGTATATATGAAAAATATATCAAAAATGCATGTGGATACTCAAATGAAAGCTCTTGATGAGTGTAAAATCGGGATTAGCTTATATCTTTAAAAACGTTAATATTTAAGAAAGTACAATGCAATTTAACAAATATCTTGTGAACTATTGACATTTTTAAAGATATAAGCTCATCCCGATGTTATACTCATCAAGACCTTTCATTTGAGTATCCACATCAATTTTTCATATATTTTATATATTTATATATATTATATATACGTATATATGAAAAATATATCAAAAATGCATGTAGGTACTCAAATGAAAGCTCTTGATGAATGTAACATCGGGATAAATTTATATCTTTAAAAACGTCAATAGTTAAGAAATTACAATGCAATTTAACAAAAATTATTATTCAATAAAGCAAAATTTTATTTATTTATAGTTCGCAAGACTCGGCAGTCAAATAGTGAGGTTGCTAGTATAAAATATTAAAATAATCTCAATTGAATTATCTAAACACAAAAGACTGTCAAGATAGAAATATCCTATGACAATATTCTATATACTGAAATATCGTATAACATAAACCAGATATACGCACGACGTATTCAGTATTCATGAGATATGTTTCTATCTTCTATATAAATGTTTTTTTAAATGTTGATCATAAAGCCCCTACAGATCTATTTATATTGAACCATAATTAGTAGCAGTTGATTTTAAGACATAATCCAGAGATTAAAGAATTTTATAATTAACAAATAAAATATTCTACGTAGAATAAAATCAAAGAGGCTGAAAAAAATTTTTATGAATAAAAAATAATTATTATAGTTATAATTATGAAGATATTGTTTGAAGTATTGTACCTGCTTCGTAATTCCCAGACACTCTGTCGATTGGGTGATTTACTATTTTTTTTCACCGTCAACTTGTCTCCAGTAGATTCATCATTAGGCACGGACTTTGAAGAGGTAAGGAAACGAGGCTTCCTCGCAGCAACTTTACCTCTACTCTGTGAGAATACTTCTCTTCCTCCAGCTATCTCAATAATTCTATTCATAAAAAAAAAGCATACATATACATACATATATAAATAAAATATGACCGTAAAAAAAATTACTTACAAAAAAATTTTTATATTTATAGACCTATATTGCTTATGTATAAATGAATATAAAATACACATAAAATGTGTGCCAAATAGTTAACTGTTGATTCAAAGAGCGAATTCAAACGAGTGTATGAAAAGTTTATTTTTTTTTTCGACCCTTACCACTTGCTAACCACTTGTTAATGAATACAATGAGCACAAACCGCATAAACTCAAGGTTTATAAAACTTTAAAATAATAAACCCGTATAATTGTAGTAAATTCATCATTAATAATTATTTTAATTATTATTTCAATGTTTTTGCATTTAAATTAATAATTATTATGACGTGTTTTGGTTAAGATCCATAACACAGTATGTTCTGTTGATATGGTTTAGTTATGTTAGCATTTGCTCCGACGAATGACAAAAAAAAACATTATTCCTCCCACCACACGCGTGTTTGCGTCAACGAGAAATTTCTCTCTTGACGTTGAATGCGCTGCTATCGCGACTTCCTCTCTTCAAATTTAAAATGTATAAGACATTTATACTTTTATTTTATTTTCACTTTTTATAATCTTACTTATTGAAAGCATAAAAAATTAATTTTATTTGAGGATACTGAAGTTAGCTGACAGCTGTCAATTTTTAAAATTTTTATAACAAATTAATTAGAATAAAAAAAAATGCTTTAAAAAATTTCCATTAATAATTTTTTATATTAAATTTAGCTGTCACTTGAAAATTTTTTAATTTTTTTTAACAAAAAAATTTATTTCAAAAAATTATTTTTGAATAATTGCATTTTTAGTTTTTAAAAATTTCTAAATGTCAATTTTTTTGATAATTTATTTTTGTATCAATTTATTTGTGACAAAAATTTTTAAAATTATCAATTATCTGCTAAATTAATTTTTATAATTTTTGGAATTTCTTGATAAATTTTTTTTTTTAGTTATTTAATTGCTATAAAATTATAAAAAAAATTCTGTCAGTTAACATTAGTGTATTTTTATGAAAATTAAGTTAGCCAAAAAAATTTTTAGAATTTTTTTATTAAAAAAATTATTACAAAAAAATAAAAAAAAAAATTTCATTTGTAAAAAATTCGAAAAATTATACTTAAGTGCAATTTTTAAAAAATATTTTTTAGTTCTAATTTAATAAATTAAAAAAAATTAAAAACATCGGCTAACTTTAGATGAAAATTAAATTAGCCGACATTTGATAATTTATTTTATTGAAAAATAATTTTTAAAAAATTAAAACAAAAATTTTTACATGTAGAAAATTTTAAAAATTATCCGTGGAGTTTTTTAGTTCTAATTTTTAATTAAAAAAAAAAAATGAAAAATTTTTGAGTGTCGGCTAACTTAATTTTCATTAACTTTAGTATTATTGTATTTTTTATGAAAATTAATTTAGCAGATAATTATTAAATTTTTAAAATTCTTATAACAAATAATGGCAAAAAAAAAAATGAGAAAAGAAAATTGACATGAAGAAATTTTAAAAAATTATAAATGCCATTTTTTAAAAATAATTTTCCAGATAAAATTTGTTTGTTAAACAAAATTAAAGAATTGTCAAGTGACTGCTAACTTCAACGTCATGTCTTTTTTACTTGTGGTATTAAACTGAGCAGAGATTGTATAATAGTGTGTACAGGAGTGATTGATAAAGACAATAAGTTTGAGCAAAGAACGCATAAATGAATAAAATACCGAGTGGATATAAATATCTAACAAAGCACAACCTTTTTTTCTATTCAAAACCGATTATACAATGGCATCAGATTGTACGTGACTCTTGTAAGCTTTCAGAACGACGTTGATACCCAAAAAGTTTAAGCCAACAAGCCTCATGAGCTATTTCTTCTTATCAAAGTACTTAACACACTTCAATAAGTCCGTCAATTTATAATAGAAATAAACTTTATAAATGAATGATAATCCCGGCTTTTGTTTTTTCTAGAATTCAAATAAAATAAATATTTGTTATTTAATTAATGTAGAAAGAACGACAGAATAAAACGGATGCTTTCCGTTAAGGGTATAATTAAATTTTATGTTCAAATACACAATTTTCTTCTTTATTTCTATTCCAAGTAAATAAATAAATTTTGATTTTTTTTTCATTTTAGTGAATAAGTTATCAGAGTTCAATTATTAATGAGACTGAGCTTATGTAGACAGAAGTTTAAAAAAAAAAAGTAACTAAAATATTTACAAAGATCCATATTAAATAGAAGATATAAATAGCACCGAATTTCAAATAGTGTTTTTTGCATGGAAACAGACAGAAATACTTAAAATACTTAAATACTAATGATCAATAATTTTTAGTTTTTTTCTTAAGATTGGGTGAATTGTCATTTAAAAAACAAACTTTTTTTTTGGCTTTACTCCAATAATAAAAATATTAATAATAAATTACTAAGCACCTAGAATTTTATTTCTTTTGAAGAAATAGAACTGACATTACTTACAACGAAAACTTTGAGACAGAACAATTTACCCTCTATAAAGTATAATATTTATTTTTTATTTTTTAATAAATAATGACAGTTCTACTTCTTTAGTAAAAATAAATTTTAACGTACTTCAAAACTTTGTTATAAATACTATTTGTTTCTTCTATTATTTTATATTTGTTTTTTATGTAAAATATTTTTTAAATTTAATTTAAAACTTTTTCATAAATTAAACAATTATCAAAAATATTCATTAATTATTAAATTTATGTTTACATAAATTAAAATGTATCCTATTTTTAAATTTAATTTAATTTACATAAAAATTTTAAATCAGACTAAATATTTGAAGATAATCCTCATTTTTCTTTTCTTCTATTAATATTTTTATTATTGACTCTAAAATAAATCAATAAAAAAAACTCACCGAGAATCTCGTAATTTATAACTTCTATCGCCTTTTGCAGAAGTTAAAATATAAACAGGACCTTCTTCAGGTCCACTGTCATCTTGCTGGGACTGTCCTTGATGATCGCTACCACCGAGACTCCCATAATTGTGTGCATCTTCACTGCGTCCTGACGCCGAGGACGATGAACTGGAAGACACTGGCTTAGTGGTGATCATCCCGTGCTGCTGATGGGAGGTCAATATCTGCTGCTGTTGCTGCTGCTGGTGGGACTGGGACTGGATCTGGGCCTCGAACCCCGGCATTATGTTTGCCGTCCTACGGGACAGCGAACCTGATTTTTTCCTGCGACTCGTCGCTCGTTTTCTACACCTACGAACGTAACTTGGAAGACTTAAAAAAAAATGATAGATACTAAAAGAAAGAAAGCCAAAAAAAAAATTAAAAAAACAAATTACTAGTAATGATCGCAACAAACTAGCGAGTAAAATTAAAAAGCAACGCCGTGTATGCTTATAAATAAAATTTAATTAAAACTCAAACAGAATTGGATTTTCAGGTGAGATAAAAGAAGGATCTGTACACAGAAAAAAAAATTAATTTTAATCAAGCAAATAATTTTGAAGAATTTCGTCTTCTTGATTTGAGTAAAAAAATTCTTTAACTAAGAAATTTTTTTTGCTTTATAATAAGTAAATTTTATTTAATTTAAGAATTTTTTGTCTTGATTCAAGACAATTATTTTTATAATAATGAAAACTCTTCACAATTATTTTTTTGGTTCAAGAATTTTTCTTTTGATTCAAATTAATTTTTTTTTTTATTGTACACTGATCGAAGGATTTATTTGTATTAAATAATATTGGTTAATAGTTAACAAATAATTTATTAGAGACCATTTTTAGTATTAAACAAATATTTCTTAGTATTTAAAATTATTTGTTTGTATTTAATAAATCTGATATTAATTTATTAAATATTAAGGACTAAAAAATGGTTTCTAATAAAATAAAAATTAAGTTAGCCGACATTTAAAAATTTTTAGAATTTTTTTTTATTAAAAAAATTATTGCAAAAAAATAAAAAAAAAATTTTTATTTTTTATAAACTTGAAAAACTCTAAGTGCAATTTTTTAGTTCTAATTTAATAATTAAAAAATTAAAAACGTCGGCTAACTTTAGTGTTATTCTATTAAATAATTTTTCAAATATTAACAAACATTTTTAACTATAAAGAAATCCTATCAGTGTAGTAAGCGCGGTGCGACAAGGGATTTTATTATATCCATTGTAAATATATGTATAAATGATTTTGATTTATTTTTTTAAATTTAGCATTAACTTCATCTCCTTTCTTCCTTTCTTCACGAATTTATTTTTATTTAATAAGAGAAAAAAGGGAATGAGGCTAAAGTAGGAATGGCGCGATCGATGTTGTTGCTCCAATTTTTGATGAGGAAGGGAGTAAAACGGCGTTCATGGAAATGCGGGTATGCTTGTGCTGTACATGCATCTCGTATAAACGATGAAATCGAGTCACGAGGGAGCACAGTGAAAATATATATATTTAAATAAAAATACTAGTGTATAAAAAGCAAGAATAACTAAGAAGAAAGCTAGAAGACGTCTAACAAGAATAAGAAGAAGAAGAAATGGAAAATGAAACTCTAAAATTCTAAAATTCAAGCATCTAGTGGTATCCAGAACGTAAATCGTTCCCTCGGCACACATAATTTAGTAGCAGGTTGTATCCTTTCAATATCATCACCGCGCCAAATGCGCCAGACTTAGACCGTATACTCCATGGCTAGAGTAGGTGTGTAAGTTGCATCACAACTGAAAGCCACCAAAGCCTGCATGTTGGCTCGACACACACGTTGACTTGCCTGTCGGTGTTGTTGTCGTGCTCCAGGTCAATCATATCGATATGCGGGAACCCACTTCCTGATCCTCCTGTTACGACGCTCGTCGACGAGGACGAGGACAACGACGGCGGCGTAGTGACCGGCTCCAGCTTCTTACACGTTGAAGTTGAATTACGACGGTCATGCGGCTGCTGGCCCGTTGGCTGATGATGCGATCCTGCCCCCGATTGCGGGGGATGACCGCCCCTAGGCCGGCATTTCGGAAATAGTCGGTTTAAATCTGCGTTCTCCAATATCAGGCTTGTCATCGCCACGTCCAGTTCATTTCGCCTGAGTCGATGTCCA